ATTTATTATAAATACAATCCTTGTGGTGATTCTCTAATCATACAGTTCACGTTTTATTTATTATAAATACAATCCTTGTGGTGATTCTCTAATCATACAGTTCACGTTTTATTTATTATAAATACAATACTTGTGGGGATACTATAATCATACAGTTCATGTTTTATTTATTGGTTTCTTTCTATTGGCTTAATGTTATTTCATCCATTTTGTTTATGAAGGATTCTTTACTCTTGTATTTTACAGAATCCAGAAAGATTCAATTGTCTGGCTGAATCACTTTTAAAGAAAGCAAAAACATCTTCAACTGAAAGGAAAATTTAATGGTTTCTTAGTATACATGTAAATAAAATACTTTTGTTACGTAATGAATGTTGTGTGTGTTTATAGTAAAGTAATAATGAACTTGGTTTTAAGCAGCTCACAATCGGGGTTCTATTTCTGTGGGGGCACAGTACTGATAGCATGTCTAGTCTGGCATGTCAGCTAAGATTAGAATATTAATCTAATAAAACACACCCAACTTGAAGTTAATAGGGAAGATTTCATCTAAAGTTACTTTGGTGTGTAAAACTCTCGGTAATTGAATTCAGATTTCAGAGAAATTATTATGACTAATTTTTTATGTTTAAATGCTCATTTAAATTAAACACAAGAAAAATTGTCATTGTTTTCAAAGTGATTGAAACTAGTGTTAATTAAATGTAAACATTAAATACCAAAAAAAAAGGAGATTCAATATGTTAAAAATGTTGTGGTGTTTGAAATATGAAATAATTGTTGAAAGGTTTTTCATTTAGTTAAAACTGATTCACTTACATTGTTGGGGTTTTCCAGCTGGGTCTGGTCCACAACTCAGGTTCAAAATTAAACATGGTACGAGTGTTAAGTGACATTATGTTGAGCAGAATCTGCATAGATGAATTAGATAATGGCTTGTGGTCCTAAACAATATGTTGCTTTATCATATGCTTTGGTAAAGCTTTCCTCTTCTTTTTTCTTAAAGAGAGGTTTTGACACACTCCACTGCAGAAAGCATTCCAACAATGGTTAGTGTTCTCTTTTGTAAAGAGATGTTCCGGCACTCCAAATTCTTCATCACTTCTGTAGCTAGGGTTAGTCTTAGGACCATTTTTCCCTTCTTAAATCTTTCCAGAAGTCCATTTGCTTTAGTTGCTGAATCTCATGCACTGGATGAAGCCATCTCTTCCAAATTAAGCAACACTGGCTCATACTGGTTGAGAATTGACTGAATGGCTTGGATACAAACAGTCCGCATTGCGGGGTACAGTGGTTTCAGAATAATTTAGTATCCACTCTCAGACTTTGCTATTGCCCCAAACACTACTTTAAATTTCCCTTATTGTCCAAACAAGCATCCCAACTCGTGAACCCACTGCAAAGAATCCTGAATCACAGGAGAGGCTGTACAAGCTGCCTAAGTTAAAAAAAATATTTACACAATAAGGACTGCAATGGACATAAAAACCTGGTGGCTGTTCTTTTCAAAGAAAAGACTGTGCTCTAAAGTATTGGCCTGATATATTTGCAGCAAGACATCAGTGGCAACTTTAGATATTCTTTCTCCTGCTGTTGAAGACATTTCATAGAGATTGGAAATTCTTCACGTGTCATCAGATCCTGATCCACTATAGGTAGCTTGAATCTTGTTGAGTGCCAGATATATCTTGTGTTCCATCAGTGATCACCGAATCAATATCTCTCACAGTGAAGCTGCCCTTTAAACTCGGGATCTCAATTTGAATTTTAGAGCAGATATAATCTTGATTATATGTGAACCACATACAGAGTTTGGGATCATCCTCTAATCTCAATTTCAGCAGCTGGCTTAGATTCTTCTTTTTTCCTCATGAACTTTAAAAGCCGACCCTTGCGATGCCAGAAACTGCACAGTGTTTAGTGTTCAACAGGCAAGATTTTGCCTCCTGTTGCTGTGATGCCAAAGCACTAGAGAGCTGCGTTTCTACTGGTCTTGCTTCCTTAATATAGGTTTAATTATATCGAAGTAAACGAGAATAATTATACATGTAGCTAAAAAAATCAAAGAACGCATTGCTACCTAAACCTACACTTTTTGTACAGAAACGAAAAAATAAATAAAGGGTCCTTTAAGGGGATATCATGGATATTAATGTATTGCTTGTTCTTTCACAAAACAGCCAGCTAAACGAGTTTCTAACTCACCAAAATCGAAAACAAACATCTGCTGTTACTTTGCTAACTCTTACATTAGCATCATGAATATTTAAATCTGTTAATGTAAGAAATTCTTAATTGTTTAGTTTTGGTACTAAACAGTTTCACTAATTCCTGAAGTTCTTTGCTTGTCTGAGTTTCTAGTTGCATACACATTTTGACTCACCTTATTATTATGTTTCACATATTCGTTCCACCTATAAATAATTCCAGACGTAACACTTTCAAAAATTAAAGAATAATAAGTTTATTTACTGACATCCACAGTAAATAGACTAAAATAAGAATACAATTTTTTTTCCCAAGAAACTACAACACATGCCTGTGATGGTTTTATTGTCTTGAAATTTTCATATGGTCTACAGTAATTTTTGTACGCTAAATCCGAAAACGATATGCATTTTTCTCCATCGCGTACAGATTTTTCACAAAACATCGTATCTACATTTATATAAGTGAATCATTTTCATTGAAATCGAGTTAAATATTGCTATGCTTAAAACGTTGACAACCACTGGCTATAGATTTCTCCGGACCAATCGCTACGTGAGAGTCTTATCGATCGTTCTAGAACTCAAACATAATAATAAAAAATGTTCATTGTGTTAAACGAAGTAATAGTTTGATCTAAGTAAGGTTTTTTTTTCCTGATTTGTAAAAATTCCTTACCTGTGAGAAAAAAAAAAGAATATTATTTTCGGAGCTGAATTATAGAAAATCCGTTATTAAAGCCAAAACAACTTTCATGAAATATAAATTCGCAGGCCTGTGTTATTTGACTCTTACAGTGAGTTTTCTAATCAGTTTTCAAAATATCCTTAGTTCGTTATTTTATAATAACAGTACAGACAACCAGTTTTAACAATTAGATCCTCTTGTCCACACAGATATTATTTAAGATTTACAGCAGTGAAATCATGAACATAATTTATTTAACTTTACTAGTATTTCAAAACCATACGTATAGCTCGCTACACGGGCGATTCCTGTTTTTTCCTTTCTTAGCTGCCAGTGACCAACTGCCTCTGTGTTTCAAACACTTACTCAAGCTGTGCCAAGACTGAGGCAATTGCAATGTTACTTGAGTTTCCACATGATCCTAATGCAAACTACATTTGTCTTGGTTTACGTGAAAATAATTGAAATGAAAATAGTTAAGCCAAAAAATTACATATTTCCGTCTTTAGAAAGATGGCGAGAAGAGGGACGATTTTCGAAACTTCAGAAAGTGGGTGGGACAAGTTCCTCCATCCCCTGCATAAATTATGTCTATGCTAGAAAGAGATTCACATCCTAGAAAAGCAAGATGTAAATCATGCCAAAGTTCATTTGACATAAGCAACATGGGAGAAGCAGCTTTGCACAGTCATATCATGAACAAGAAACATGAAAATTGATGAAGGCAATATCAAGCTAGAATACTGCTATTCGCAACTTCTTCAAAACACCTGAACAGAAACTGCCCATCTTAAACAAAAACAAAATACCACTGTGACCGCTTCCAGTTCAATTTCCAGCATCCAGTCATTTATTTCTTCTACTGATGTTTTAAGGTTTTTGAACTTTGAAAACTATTGACTGCCATTGTTTTCACTTCATTCAAATGAAAGGATTATAGACATTTTCAATGGTATGTTCCCTGACAGTGAAATTGCTCAAAAGTTTTCATGTGAAGAAGACAAAACATCGTGCTTAGTTGTACATGGATTAGCTCCACATTTCACTTCCATACTGAAGGAGAGAATCCAGAAATCTGATGGGTATGTTCTTTTGTTTGATAAGAGCTTGAACAAGTCCCTCAAGGTGAAACACTATGACACTCGTGCTCGCTTTTGGAATGAAAAATCTGTCCATGCAGGATACATCAAATCAGAGTTCTTAGGACATTCTACTGCCACTGATCTATTTGATGAGATGTTACCTGTCTTTACAAACATTGGTTCTAAGAATTTACTGCAGATATCCATTGGTGGTGCCAATATTAATTGGAAATTACATGCAAAGTTATCAACTGAAGCTAATAAATTCAATCCAAAAAGAAACCTGTTGCAAGTTGGATCTTGTGGTTTACATATAATTCACAATGCTTTTAGAAAGGAGTGTAAAGCAGCTGACTAGAAATTTGAAAAAACTCTTCCAACTTTTTACTATTTTTTAAAGATTCAACATCGATAGCTGATGACTTCAAAAGAGTGATTGGATGCTCGGACCTTCCACCAGTGTTTTTTAAGCACCAATAGCTGGAGAACGTCAGTGTTGTAGAAAAATGTTTGTCCCTGCTATCTCCTCTTGAAACATATGTGAGTGTGCAGAAAAACCCACCAAAATTAAAGTCATGTGAACAATATTCATGAAACTGTTAACTCTCATCTGTTCATCCCCGAAGCACAGTTTTTATTCTATCAGTTGCTAGAGAAACCGAAACTTTTCTCAAAGAATTTCAGAATGATAAACCAGTGTTGTATTTTCTGGCTACTAATCTCTTTGTTCTTTTCAGGAAAGATTTGTGACTTCAGAACGACTAGAAAACATAACCGAATCACAACACGTTGCAAGCCTGGATTTGATCGGCAGAAATATTTTAATTAAAATAACCTTCCAAAATTGATACTGGTTTTGTTACAAAGTCCTCAAGGATAAAATTGCTAGACTTAAATGCAGACAGTTCCTCAAGGCTGTTGTTTTGAAAATTATTCAGAAGTTCCCCTTAACTTACAGTTTAGTAAGGAACACGAACATCTTGAATACGGAAGTGATGCACTATCCAGTGTTTTTACGTTTGTCTAAAATGTTTGGTAAACGCAGGTAGAGCGGAAGAAAGGGACTGTGACACTATTCTCAGGCAGTACAAAGAGTTTCTCTTGTTTGTATGCTTCTAACTACCATGCAAAGATCAATAGTTTACGGTAGCCGTCTAATTATTACTTTGCGATTAAATCGAAACTTTAAAAACAGCTTTTGTCAGCAAATAAGGAACATACTACGATAGAAGAATGAGCTGTGTGCTGTTATGTGATTTCATCCGTTACAAATTACTTAGCAGACAATCAAACCGCTGGCAAACTCATTAGATTTTATCAACTGATACAATTGTTTATGTTTAAATTTGTTACCACTCATATTCTTACTTAGTTAATAAAATAATTGTCAAACACTTTACATGGTTTGATAGGATGGCTTTTGAACGCTTACTTACGCAAAATTGTTCTTCGATTTAAACACAAAATTGACACAAGTGGCAAAATAGTATATATAAATTTTGTAAAACGATTTGATTGCCAAATCTTAACGGAAAGGGCCCAGTGGTTAGAAAGCTTCACTCCTCATCTTAGGGAATTACACCTGTTGCTGAATATCCTTACTCTTTCAACCGTGATTGCGTTATAACGTGATGGTCAATCCCACTATTCGTTGATAAAGAGTTGGCGGTGGATGGTGTTGACTAACTATTTTCTCTCTCTCTAGCCTATCACTTCAAAATTAGGGACGGCTAGCGCAGATAGCCCTCGAGTAACTCTGCGTGAATATTCAATAAACAAATTTAACAGAAAGTCTCTAGATTCAAATTGTAAAGTTGTTTATATATATATAATTTCTTTATACGGTGCCACAATTTTCGAGAACTTGAATTAGAAAATGCTTACTAAACGGAGACACTGTTTGTGTTATCTTATAAGAATGTATAAATAAAAATTGAATTTTGTGCGTAATAGAGTTATTTCAACTTAGTAGTGAGTTAATTAATACTTAAATATATATATATATATATATGTATGTATTAATCGTTTGACTTGAATATTATAATGATATTGTTACAACAGCGGAAGTCACGTGACGCTGGTAACACGTAATGAGTTTCTAGAAGTTTCTTCCTGGCTACTCTAGTCTTTTCTACGCGCCATCTATTTTAGTATATAAGCCGGCAAATAAAGCGGAGGGAGTATGTCAGACAGGGAGATATAGAGACAGATAATCGAGTCAAGTGAGCTGTAGTGACCGTAAGAAAAGTGCGTGAATCGTTGTGAATTAAAGTGTGTGTTTAAGTTAAAGTGACCGTGGAAATTCTGTGTATTATAAAGTTGTATCGAGAAGTAATAAACTAGTTTTAATTAAGAAAAGACTTGTATCGCTGAAGTTTCTCGGAAAGAATTTTTACAGGAAATTATCCAACGACCAGAGACGTAACAATATTAATTTATCTTACTGTGACTTGAAAATAGTTTTGGAGATAACTTGAAACTTGCAACAGGAAGCACGAGATACACTGTGAGCTGCTGTTAATCTAGGATTTTAATAAGTAGTTATCGTACAACTTTACATTTTGCCTTCTTTAAAGTAAATTAGCGACATTCTCCCTTAATCCGACATGGGCGTCATTTGATGGGAGGGGACATGTCCCCACTTTTTGTATGTGTATGACTTATAGATTTGAATAAAATTATAATTAATAAATATTCGATGACGAGGAACCCACTTTGAGACTAATAATGCTTGGAGACGACTTGAATGGGTAATGAAAAAAAATTTAATATAAGTTTAACATAACAGCAAATGCTTATATTAAAGTTTTTCTTCATTACTTATTTAAGCCGTCTCCAAACATTATAATTAGTATATATGTATATTACTTATAAATATGTATATATATATATTTTTTAATCTGCATTATGTATTCTGACTCTGGTCTATTATGTTTTGGCTTATCTCTTTTACTTTTTTTATAAGCAAATGACGCCTTTGCAAGCAGATACTGATTTTGTTAAACAGTCAGCGAAGTTTGGGTGGAGATAGCGACCCCTTCTGTCTACAACAATAATACGCATCATCATCTAGAATGTTTGTTTCCAGTAAACTTACCAGTAGTTCATAAAAGTAACCTGAAAATTCGTTATCAGACAAGGAAGACTTGCGCTCGTGATGGTAATTATGACATTTAAGTTTAAAGGAAACAACCAGGGATGCTCAGAAAAGTTTTTCTATTTATCCTGTTCGTGGTTGAAATATATTATTACTTGGTGAGGGGGTTTCTGCTAGATATGGAAATATATGAAAAGGGTGTCTAAAACTTGCTACACATGGGACGGTGATAGGCGTCAGTAAAGTCGGAAGAAGAAGAAAGCCGGAAATCGTGCTGAGTGTTGTCGTGTCTTCCTGTTTTGAAAGTCATACGGTGGTCCGGTTTGGCTGGAGCATCCAGCTCAAAGCAACATTCGCATCTCCATATGCATGATTTTAGTAAACACTTGTATTACTATGAGTAACTTTATACGTGATTAATTGACATTACTAGTAGCCTGGTCAGTGGGCGTAAAGGCTCTAAGGTTTGATTTATAATGAAATTAATAGTTTTGATGCTAATTACTAAACTAATAAAATGTTGATGTAATTTTGATATCAGATAGGTTGGCTCTTTTCAGGGAGGCTGGGTTCGAGTCCAATGCCCGAGAAAATTTGTGGTGGGGAGGAAACGGGACTACCCCGAGGAAACCCACTTTACTGGTAGAGTGCCAAAAAATCCACTCTACCAGTGCCCTATAATTGCTGCTGTGGGTAAGGATCGGAACATACATGATTAGACAGTCAGCGTACGTATAGTATTAAAAGGTGAGATTAATCTATTGTTGAAATAATACCTAACAATTTGATGACCCTGAAGAAGCTTAGCTCAGTGTTTTCGTTATATAGTTTAGTAAAGTTTGAACTTTTGATGCTGCAAGTAGGAACTCTCGTGAGGTGCCCCAGACGGCGCTGTCATCTGCATATTGTGATGCATGAGTAAACGTTAATTTCGGTATATCATTAACGAAAACGATATATAAAAGAGTGCTTGATACTGATTCCAGGGGTACTCCTGCCTGTAAGTTGATTGGGTCGGATACAGCATTGTTAATTTTGACTTTAGATTTTGTATCTGATAGGAAGCTAGATATCCATCTGATGATTGTTGGCGGAAATTTAAATTGGGTGAATTTAAATATTAGGCCTTAATACCAGACGGAATTAAAGGCTTACTTTACGTCTAAGAAGAGACCTGTTGTTGTATGCTTTTTATTGAACTCTTGGATACTGGATTCGGTTAGTCTAAATAGATGATCGGCTGTTTGTCTATGTTTGCGTGATGCATTTTAAATTTCTGCTAGGATATTGTTCTTTTCCAGGTACCATAATAAACGCATTGTGATTATTTTTTCCGAGAGTTTTCTATGCTGTTTAGTAGACTAATTGGTCTGTAGTTTTCGGATATTTAGTGGCAGAGCTACTCTTTGGTATAATTTTGATTATGGCAGATTTCTATTGGTGTTGTTGGTATCCAGAGTTGAGGGATAGATTAAGGATTTCAGACGCGTTTTAAGAATTATTTTACGGATGCCGTTCTCGCCAGGTGAAGTGTTTTTTAATTTCTTGGTCGCGATTTTAACTTCAGTTAAAGATACTGGTTTGGTTATAAAGTTAGCGTCGGTTGCGTAAAATGGTCTCCGTGTTTGTGTGGAACATGGGAAGACTCGATTGAATAGTTCATGGTTGTTTCCTCTGTACAATTCTGTCAACTGAAATTCTAAAGTAACTGAATAGATCTAAGTGGACTTTTGACATGAAGAAGAGAACTATATGTAGTGTTTATGATATGCCTATAATCTGTATAGTGTAAATTAAGCCCTTCTTCAGCAGAAATATTTTCAATATTTTTCTTACTATATACAAAGATTGTTCTTAGTTCATATTGTTCATATACTAAACCTTCTCATATCGTCTACTCCAACATTTACATTTCCTTTGCCTGTCTCTTCTAGGGTAGGGTCTCCAATTGGGCTTCTCCTTGACAGGATCCCTTGCCTTCATCTTGAAAAGCACTTTGAAGCTGACTTTGGAAATGAGGATCACATTCTCGCAGATGCTTTTCACCCATGGTTTAAACTGATTTGGATTAGCTCAAACACTAGGATAGAAACTGTAAAACAAATGATGATTAAAAACTTTCAGAGAAGATAGAAGGTGGCGGTGATGAAAGTCAGCAAATACTGATTTATGTGATTTTTCATCATTTTTGAGCACCATAGGAGATGACGAAAAAGTCTTCTTCATGTGCTTTAAACGACAAGTAAAATCTACAAGTAATTTGTCCCAAAGTAGCAACGATCAAATAACACTGGTCCTGAGCGAAGAACCATCTACTTCAAAAGATATAGAATGAAGCTTGTTCCCTTTACCAGCTTTTAAATCTCTCTTCATTTACTTCAATACGACCGTTACAGCTGTAGAGCACGTTTTCTCAACAAGGAAAGACATTTTGAAATAAAAAAGAACTGGATCGATGGATAACAATTTTGAGGAGCTGATCCTACTGAAATTAAATAAATTAAAACAATAATAGAATGGAACGAATAATAAGATACGTAATACATTCTAATATTTGAGATTAATTATTTCATATTAGCTTATTAGCTCATTTATTATTGTTACTGGTATCATATTCGCTTAATATTTGACGCTGTGTTCTTTAAGTACTGTCATTGAATGTATTGAAGACTGCGTGGTTGTTAGCTGCTTTCTTCTCATCATTCACAGATATGGATAGGCTGTTCTGAGAAGTCTGTATTATGTTATTTTAGCAATAAAGAATTACCATTTACCAATAAATTTGAGTTTTTCGTTCTTACATTATACACTGAGAATAATTATCATGATAAATGTCAGTTTCAAAAGTAGTGGTAGTGATAGTGCTGTTATATTTTTGTTGCTGTAGCAGTAGTGATAGCGGCACTCCATTGAAGAGATAGTGTTCACAATATGTGTGCGTGTGTGCGAGTATGTTGAAATTAGCTTTCACCAGTGTTACCAAGTGTGAAACTCCTGTTATATATACACACACACAAATGTTGAATTATGGTATTCAAGCTAGCACTACAGTTAAAGCTGGCAGTGCATATTTTACACCCGTTGTAATGTGCCTTCAATGACTGTGTTTGCACAATTAACGCTACACATGCTCATTCATGAATTTTTAGACTTTGTATTTTCTAATCTTGATCGACCCTAGGTATTACCGTAATGATAGCTACAATTGCTTAGGTTATGTCATTTTAGTCTTGCAGCTAAACAACTATTGATGGTTGAGTTACAGCATTATTTAGCTCAGTAATTAATGACAATCCGATGGATTGCACTGACAGGCACTAACCCCACATGTGGAGGCTGTCAGTCTTGCAGAAGCTAAACAAAAGTTCCTTTACTGATGTTACTAGCTGCCTCCTGGCTATATACTATCGTACTGAATCCTCATTTTTTGCTTTTCCTGGCTACACCATATAGTACTGTGTTTTCCAGCAGTATTGTTCTCTCTAAATGTTCATGCAAATCTTATATGATTGCTATTTTTGCTTTTTAGTGCAAAGATATGCTGGATTTCTATAGGGACTTCTATTGCAAGCTTGACAGCTTTCTCATTTAGCTTTACCCTAGCATGGCTTGGCACATATGTCCAGGTGATAGTCCTACAATACATTTCATTTACTTTCTACCAGCCACAGAATTTTATGCAGTACTATCTGTGAGTCAGTCACAGATGTTAAGCTAAGTTCTCTCGAGATTGGCCTTGCTATACAGTTTATTCTATTTCCTCTATCAATACTTGGAAGCTGATCTCCAGTATAGCGCTCTGTCTTTATTACGTGCACTCCTTTCCTCCTCCACACAGGCACAGATTGGGTCATGTCTTATTTGCATGAAGTCAGTCTGGACTTTAATGCATACTTTTCAGGCTTTATAAGTATCACTGTTCCATCAGAAATTGTTGCTTTAACTTTATACTGAAGAGGTGCTTGAGGGTACAAGTGCTGACAGAAAGCTTGGTATTCTTGTATGGGTTTCTAGATTGTTTTATACCACTATGTCTTCCAGTACTCACGCACACCAAGGCGGCAAAAGAAAGATCCATACAGAAGTCTGTTACCTTGACGTTCAACAGTTCTTGTTGAATCACTTATGGTTAGCAATATAAGGTTGGTGGTTATGATGTGGTCAACAGAATGAAAACCTTTACATTAGTGTTTTTATACACATTCCAGATGGGTTGTCTAGCACTAGTTTTTTTGATAGATTCATAGGAGTGTTGTTAGACAGGTTAGCCAGAAATCTCCAATCTTCAACATGATATGCTTTGATATACATATTCGTGATTTGGATTTGTGTGGGTAACTTCAGATGAGTTATCTGGATGATTTGTAGTTTGCAGTGGTTATTGTTATTCTGAGAGCTGTCATAATGCTCAAATTACAATAGCTATCCCAGTGTCTAGGCAAGCATTTGGTATGAAGCTAAATCCAGTAACAGTAAATTCCTCAAGGCCTGGGAGTTTAGTGTTTTCAAAGAGTACGTTGTGATGAACTTCAGAGTGCTCAAGGGAGTACTTGCTTCCACTGATCATCGTCATATTGCAGTAACATTTCATAATGTTAGACTGGCAGAGTCTGGTGTAATTTCTATACGTGTCATTTACTATCTCTGTGTTTAGGCCTTGGTTTCCCCGCTCTTTTCCTTCTCCCGTTGGTCAGTCAGTGTTTCCCACTGAGTGCAATAGCTTCATTGCACTTGTGACCACCTATATGTTTGTAGCCAATACTTTAATCACTTACTGTTCAGAACTCTTGTTCTTAGCTCTGTCCATCCCAGTAAGACAGGTGAGTGATGGTGGGCAAGCAGTCTATTAAAGTGGGGCAGCTATTTTTGAGGTGGGTGCACTGTCTAGAAACCTCCGTGGTGTAGGATGGCGTCTCTGCTTGAATGTCAACCTACCTAATATATGGGACACTACCCAATTCAGCTTTCAGATCCAAGTTGTATTTCCCATTGGTCCCATATTTCACAGATTCATCTGTCCTGATGTTGCACACAACTAGGCTCGAGGTTTATCACAGGGACTTACTGCTTTTACCAATAGATTAGTCCTTGTCTCACACTTCATACCTTGTCAAATGTGTTAAAACTAAACTCAAACTAACTCAGACATTAAATCTATAATTAATCAAGTAAAGTGATGGCCAAAATGTTTGCTTATTTTGTAACAAATAAGATCCATTATTATTAAGATAATATACAAATACACTTAGCACTGTCAAACTGAGAAATGCATGTTATATTAAACAACTAAATGTGTAATTTGTATAATGAGATAGGTCCTATGGATATCATGAATGATTAATTAGAACAGCAAACAATTTTTTCAGACACTTGTAGAAAGATGTGAAATTCAGCATTTCACTTGTCACAACAAAACCTTACCAAAACATGTAATGACAAAATATAATATCCAATTATTATGAATAGCATCTGTAACATTACATTAGTTCATATTAACTTCCCTTAGACATAAAATTTTAAAATTTATACAAGAGGTATATACTAGGAAAAGTTACATTTAGTAAATTAACTTAATTCTAATCTAAACTGCTTTAAAACACTAAAAATGCGTATTTTCTTGCTATAGGCGCAGTAACCAATATAATTTACATGGAAGACATTTATATTCTATAGTATATAATTTAGAAATTTATAGATTGAAAGTGAGCGCCTTCCTTAAAAACAGCGTGGTTGTGGATCTGAACTTAGTGACACTCTGTGCAATACAAACAAATTTCAGACTAATTACGTGAAACTATATCATGATAATTTGTTTTAAATCTACATTTTTGGTAACTCCGCAATGCACTCAAGCACATGCCACATTTATACTTATGTCTATAACTAAGCAGTTAGTAACTTGTAGAATTAAGTTATATGCAATCATAAGGTGAATTAACACTTATTAATGGATCTAAAAAATCCCTTAGAGCAGCTTGTAGACCATTATAAAGATGTTATTCTCCCTCCCCTCCCGCTGTTCTTCTTCTCTTCTTATTTCGCTCTTCCGTTTTTCGTGTTTTTGTTTTCCAAAATATTTGCAAGTATACATATATTTCGTCTCATAAACTATCCCAATTAACTTGCCACTATTGTATGAACTTAAGAGTGAAAGTAAAGAAGAATGTATAACAATATATCATCAACACGATATCTGACATATCCAGTGTCGATGAGACCTTTCGCTCAATTTCAGGGTTCGTGATGATGGCTTGAATACAACAAACATAGTACTGGTTGAAACACTATTTACATTACCAAGTTGCATAAACAATAACTGTGATCCACTAGCTGTGTTCAGTCTTTATTCTAGAATAGGCCTAAGCCCAGTTTGAATTTAAAAGTAGGCCAAACGAACCAAAAGCATTGTTGATCGTTGTGGGAAAATTATATAATACAATATTTCATAAGGGCTTGTAGACTGTGATAAAACAACTGTAGTCGAGTTTTTTTTTTTTTGGTGCCGGTGGTAGGGAAGACGTCAACCAATAATGTTTAAACGTGCTGGTTATCTTTATTGAAAAACTAGAGGGTCTACGTGAACTGGTGTGTTTCTCAGGCACGTAGGAATTGTCTGTTTGTTAACTAAGAGGTCATTTTTATGAGAGTGTTGCTGTTTTGGTCTATGCATCTGATGTATATATGTGTGTTTAATAATTTAAATTTCTGCGGTTGGGTCTGTAAGGCTATAACTAAACATAATAATTAGCATACTTATAGATGAATTTAAAATAAATTGACGTTTATGTTTTACAAGGTACAAATATGTCCCCGAGCCTTCCAAAGCAATTTAAGTTATTGTTACGTATCTGCTTGTTTGTTAATTTCCGGTAGAAATTATTT